GAGGTATGGGAGCGTAAAACTTCGGTGAAAGAGGACCCCTCGGATCATGCAGTACCTCGATGCTCTAGATCGGATGGTCCTAGCTTCCTTCGGATCTTCGGGTAGATTCCCATTACATATAAATTCAACTATAGGGTCCATCCATGAAGGCTCGTTATTAATGTCCATGACTGTTTGTTCTTGACATATGCTTGGCTCCGTCGCCATTCTGATATGGACTGTCTTGTCTAGTCCGTCTACTCCCATGAATACAAGTCTTGATAACGCATCTGCCTTACCATAATTAGCCCGGACAATTTTTAGAATTTGGCAATCCGTAAATCTTCTCTGCAGATCATGTACCTTTAAGCAGTACATGGTCATCTTTTCATCCTTTCTTTCGAATGTTCCTTCAATCTGTCCTACCACAAGTTGGGAGTCGCTAAAAAGCTTGACGCGTTCAATTCTCAGACTATTAGCGAGCTCCAGAGCAATGACCACAGCCTCATACTTCGCCTCATTGTTGGTAGCTTCGAACTCAAACCTGATTGCACATTGAATTTCGGTTACTTTGTCCGGACTGTTGATGATGATGCCTGCACCCGAGCTCGAGGAGTTGGATGCCCCATCAACGAATATTTCCCACGGGTCTACAATAGTCGTCGGGCAGGTTCCCGGCCTTCGAATCCTCGGGGTGAGCTCTGCAATGAAATCTGCCAACACTTGTCCCTTGATGGAGGGCCTAGGCTTGAACTCTATATCAAATTCTCCGAGTTCGATAGCCCATTTCAATAGTCTACCCGAGACGTCTAGCTTCTGAAGTATCTGTCTGAGTGGCTGGTTGGTGAGGACTACAACGGGGTGTGACTGAAAATATTGCTGAAGCTTCCGTGCTGCCATAACTAGTGCTAGAGCAAGTTGCTCTGCCAATGTATACCTTGTTTCCGCGTCCAACAACACTTTACTGACATAGTAGATAGGATGTTGAGCTTTCCTTAGCTCTTTCATCAATACCCCGCTTACTGCATTTTGAGACACGGCCAGGTATAAGTATAATGTATCTCCAGGCTCGGGCTTTGTGAGCACTGGAGGAGTAGCCAATGCTTGCTTAAGTTCCTAAAGAGCTACTTCACAATCCTCATTCCAACTGAAGCTCCGATTGCCTCTCAGGACTTTGAAAAAGGGAAAACACCTGTCAGCCGCTCTAGACATGAATCTATTCAAAGCAGCAACCATACCTGTCAACTTCTGAACCTCTTTCTTGTTCCTTGGTGATTCCATATTTTATTAGAGCTCGAATCTTATCTGGGTTTGCCTCAATCCCCCTGTGAGTGATCATAAAGCCCAAGAACTTTCCTGATGCCACCCCAAAAGCACACTTTGTTGGGTTTAACTTCATCTTATACCTCCGCATCGTCGAAAATACCTCCTCAAGATCGGCGACATGCTCATTCACCTGCTTACTCTTGACAACCATGTCATCGACGTAGGCTTCGATGTTTTTCCCTATTATATCAGCAAAAACTTTGTTGATGAGTCTTTGGTATGTCGCCCCCGCATTCTTCAAACCGAATGGCATGACCCTGTAGCAGTAGATGTCGGAGTCGGCTATGAATGAAGTCTTCTCTTGATCTTCGTCAGCCATAAGGATCTGGTGGTAGCCTGAGAAAACGTCAAGGAAGCTATATAGCTTATAACCTGAGGTGCTGTCCACGAAGTTGTCGATCCGGGAAAGAGGATAATTGTCTTTTGGGCATGCTTTGTTGAGGTCTGTGAAGTCAATACACACCCTCCACTTTCCATTAGCCTTTTTCACAAGAACAACATTGGAGAGCCAATCCGAATATTGGACCTCTCTAATGAACCGGGCACTGATTAGCTTATTGATCTCTTCACATATAACCTCCTGCCTTTAGGGAGCAAATTGCCGCTTCTTCTGGTTTACAGGTCTGGCATTAGGCTTCACATTCAGACGATGGACAATGACGTCGGCACTTATCCCGAGCATATCTTCAACCTTCCACGCAAATACATCAATGTTGCGGGATAGGCACTTGACGAGTTCTTCCTTCAAAATGGCATCAAGTTCCCGGCCGACGGTTACTTTCTTACCATGCT